TGGTCTGCCTTTTGCCCATAACTCAACCATTCTTGCGGTAAAACAATTGCAGTTGTCTTCAATGAGTTTCTGTAGCGACGACCAAGGTGTTAAATAACTTTATTGGGCTATTGTTTCGGCTGGTCGCCTTCGTCAGAGCCTTGGGACATACGGTAGGCTTTTTTGGGTCCACCTTCAGTCATTTTTCGCTACCAAAATACGTTAGTGATCATTGATAATCTGATCATTGATGACGATTGATTTGTTAGTGATAATTCCTAATCCTGTGAATTTGTCTTGAAGAATGAGTCGCAGCAAGTGGCGATTAGATTCAGAGAACTCGCCCAAAGTTTGATTAACTCGTCCATTTTCAATCCCGTACATGAGGTTTTTTAGAACATTTTCAACGGGTTCTTTTGCTTTTTCCTTCAGCGTTGTACTTACAACATGAACTAAAATTTGCAAGCCCTGAAACTTGTGGAAGATGATCGCGGGCGCTGCTTTTAAGATACCTTGTAGTACCTACATAGCTGTACTACAAGGTATCTCAAGCATCTTACAGTATTACACACTAGGTGAAATCATATCAGGTAAAGGTATGCAGCTATGTTAGCAGGCTCTTAGTAATCATTCTACTTTCCTTATCAAAGTAAATAGTAAATATTTAATATCCGACCGATTTCCTTACTCCAGATTTCCTTAAAGCTGGTTATTTATAGGGCTCTGGTGATCAGCAGCAGTTATCTTTGACACTATGACTATCCTTCTTCTTCAGGATTAGTGAGCACGATTGAACCGTTCCATATCTGATCTCGCGGGGGCATGCAGAAGTAGAACGAACCAGGGGCAAGGAAAGCATGAAACGGTCTCAATTTACTACTGAACTAGGGTTGTAGAAGGTTTCCTTGAAAGCTTTACAGTGAACTGCCAAGATACTTTACTGCGAGCGAACATTTATATTCATTTCTTAACTACGACAGAAGCCGCATGTCTTTTGGCATCTGTATTCCATAATGGAGACCCTGGCGGAATCTTTTGATGTGCACCAACCATTCTCCTTGTTTCTTTTGCATGAACCAGCTGGACCGACATCTTTGCACACCTGGAAAGCAATCAAATTGTACTGTAGCAGCAAAGTAGTAAGTTTATTTTTCAGGAGACTGGATCATTGGATCTTACCTCAGAAGGCACTGCTGCGCCTTCAGTGAGGGTGGTCAGAAGCATAACTGCGAAGAAAACGTAGAACAGCATAATCGTTTCTGGCTGACACCAGAGTGAAGCTTTTGCTTCTCCTACACCTTATAAAGGGTATTGGAGTAAATTCAAATCGCAATCTGCCGTCTCTGCTTAGCTAGCACAGGTCCTATTTGTTTTACGCTCTCTTTATTTTTTCTCTCTCTCTTGGTTTTCGCACCCTTTTGTTTTTCGTCCTCTTTTGTTTAAGCAAAGCTATCGATAATGGTGGTGAGAAGTCTCTCATGGAAGGTCATGTTTGAGCAGATATGAAACTTCAATTTTTTGTTTGAAAAGTCAAGGGGTACTGGATTTTCGCAGATGGTTTATAGGATTCGGGCTCACTTTCAACAGATAACGCGTGAACGTTGAAGAGCACTTACTATTGTTACTTTGGAGCATCGTCATGAAAGTAAAACAACTCCTCCCCTACTGGATCTGGGTGATTTTCAGGAAGGGATTCAATTAACTTCGTGCTGCAAAAGCGTCAACGATGGCAGATCAAAAGAGCACCGTAAGCACCTTGTTCTCGCTATTCAATGGCAATTAGTAGGTCCTTCGTGAAATTCTGACCAGTGATTCCCAGATTACCTTTGAGGTGTGAATTTTAATAAGTAAAGTAATTATCCCGCCCGCGATTGCCTTGGGGCTGGAAACAAATGGAAGTCCATTCAGCCTCACTGAATTAGATTATTTTGTTGTCCATGTTTTTTTCATAACAAGAACCAGTTTCAAAACTGATACTCATAAGTGACCAGCCCTCCCCTTGCCTTATGCAGGTAGGGGCTTAGTTCAGCATGCAGTCCTAAATGAATGATCCCGCGCGACTTCTTTCCTTGTTCTTTCTTTGTTACTGAATAAATGACCACCTTGTCTTATTATTTGGCTCGCGAAGCCACACCCATGCTCTTCCGACTGGCACCTAGAAACTTATATTACCTACGATGTGCAATAGCATAATGGGCCTTCCAGTTCTACCTAGAAGATTGCAAGCGAAAATTGGACGTGTTGTGCACAAAAGTTTTGCCAAGCGAACACCGCGAAACATCGTCTTAGTGAGCACAGGCTGACTTTCTTCCTTTTTTCTATTTTCACTTGGCTGTGATGTTAATCTAGTTTGATGGGTTTTTTAGTGCAGAAATCTCATCACACAGATAGTCTTGTTTTCAATTCTGTTCATTTTTCGGAGAGCTTCCCATCATGGCAGAAACGTTTCCTGAACAAGAGAACGTTCACATTTTTTGCGGGCATCCGGCAAGGCACTCCATTAGATCGTGGAAAATTTTTGCAGATATACGAATCCCCTGACTTCTACTGTCGTACGACTCAGAGGTGGTGGGATGTTGCAAATTTTATGTAATGTCTAGCAGACGCAAGCAGATGTGTTCATAGGCAGTCAAGCCCTACACCCCGGCGACGGAATGTTTCAGGTTGTACGCCCTTACAGCCTAGTAAATACTGTTCGTTGATCATTTTGATTTTCAGTTGGCATTATTTTCTAGGAGGAGGCGAGGTGGGTATATGGGACGTAGTGGCGCGCATACTGCTCGCTGCGGTCCCTGCGGTTCCAATCCCAGTTCGATCCCGCCCAGGTCCAACCAAGCTCTCTTAAACCCGTCGGAGACCGGTAGATTGGTGACGGCAGTTCGCTTGGGATGATAAAGAAACACTGACTTGTGCATTGTTGGCCCCCGCAGTCATTTGTATAGACCACGATGCCACAATAAGAATAAGCATTACAGTTTTTGTAAATGGGAAGTAAAATGGTGCATACATCCCACAATGCTAGAGTGTCCAACCGGCAAAAGCTGCATAATTTTCACCTTTCACTCTTCCATGCATCCCGTGGTTCTCTAAAGGAAATTCCGCTAACAAAGGACTCAGCGATACATGTTAGCGCTGTTCCGTACTCACTCATTGCTTCTCTCAAAACTAACGCTTACCTCCCCCCCCCTCATCGCCTCAACGTCAAAGTATGACGAAACCCATTGGAGAAGGTCAACACATAGCGTGCTTGGTCTTAGTCAGCTAGCGGGTAAATGTAGTCTGTCCGCTGAAACGAGAAAAGTAAACTCATTATTTTTTTTCTTGAGGAAAATACGACACTATCCTCTCAAACGACCGAATATGGTTCTTCCCCCCCCCCCTGCTGCGTTTTTGCTCAGAGCCCTGATGTGCGGGCACTGTCGAGCACGCGCAGCAGCAGCAAGCAGCACGATTTACATTACAGAACTCGTGTGCATGAGACACCTGGAAAGTGTTTGGGGAGACAGCATTCTGCATTTAATAACTTCATGAATGTACACAACTTGCCGTCGCACCGGTTGAAACTCAATCAAGGAACGATTTAGTAGTCAATAATTCAGTCAGTTGAAGGATTTAAAAGCAGCCATTAGGAGAGCAATTATCGTTCAAGGTTCAGCTTTGTTCAGAAGATTTTTGGGATGGGGGCAGCCGAAATGTGCCTTTTGACACTCGCGAAGCCAACAGAATAGAGAATCAAAATGATGGTCATACAAGGCGTCACAAAGAATGATTGAATCGACAAGAATATGAAACGATAACTTTGGAGGCTATGAGATGTGTTTTATAACCCATTATTACTCATGAAAAAGAGTGTACGTGAGGTGTGCGCCTCCCGAAGTAATGGCGGGCACGGCCCTTTACAATAATTCATTGGGAGACCTCGTTTTCCATAACAGCGACGAAACAAGCGAAGAAATCGTACAAGAAGAGGGAACATATTCCTACTCGCCTCTCACGATTTTCACCATGAATTCAAAGCAGGGTACCCCCCCAGCCTACAGGGGTCTGTATGTGCCGTTTGTGCAACGTTTTTGGTTGCTCCCTGATTTTTTCATTTTTTCTCTTTTTTTCCTTTCACTGCGTCATTGCCCTATGTACCCTGGCCACTCCCTCCCCCTCCCTCCGCTCGACGGCAAATTGTTCTTGAGGCAAATTTCTGGGAGTTTCTGGGAATGTGGTGGGAACCTGGAATAATTCAGGGAGAAGATAGGTAGGATGGGGAAGGGGGTTGTAACAGAGAAGATTTTGAGGTGGGTCGTACTTTGCGAAATTTTACCCCAACGACAGGACATGTCCTGATTTGAATACCTGGCAATCACTGATCTCCTTCCTGGTCCTGTAATTTTTTCTGGTTATCGATCCGATTCGGAAAAAAGGCTCAGAGAAATCGGCCATCTCCGCCCACATCACCAGCTGTGGGTATCGCGTCTTTTTTTCGAGCTCTTTCTCAGAATCCTCTTCTTTCAAGGCCCATTATTGCAAATGAAATGAACGACGCCGGGAAAATTCGAGATTCAGCTAGCAGGGGCAACTAGCATAATTGACACTTGTTCCGCTTCCCTCCCGTCTCACGCTTCTGGATCTTCAGTAGTTACACCTGTAACGCCGTCTTTGGAATAGTTATTTTCTTTCCCCTTCTTTGTGAATCCCTCGCGGGTCAGACTCCACCCGGATAAGCACAGCACGCTCGGGCAGACTCACACAGTACTTACATTTTACATACACCTACCTGACTCCGTGGATGGTCCTCTCCATCTGCGAGAGGAACGGGTTGGCAGCTTCACAAGTCTAACATCTTGGTCATTCGAGAGCGCACGCAAAATGGGCGCTGAAGGGTGGTGATAAAAGGTGCTGAAATTCCTTTGTCTTCCACTCACCAGAATTCTGTTGACGGATCGGTGAGTTTCCCGGCAACCCCGTAAACAGTGATGAAAGATGCTAAGTGAACTTCAACTTTTACTGCTATCTACTGACCCCAAAATCTTCGTAACCGTCAGAAAGAAATTCCGGTATTTCGGAATTTTCAAATAAAGGTTTTTCATATTTGCTCAGTTGTGACCTGAGCAGATATCCCCACCACT